ATCTCCTGGAGCCTACGGCAGCACAGGTGTTCCATCTGTATCGTAGAGCTGCCCCAAATTCAGAGCTCAGTTGTGCCGATAAACGTAAGCGGCACCAGCGTATACCTTATACCAGTGGTCGCCAACCTTTTCAGTGTTGAGCTAGTTTGATAATTTTGGAATAAACAGTGAACTGCCTAATCGCAAGCAATGTAAGTGAACTTAAATGAAATTATACACAGTTGTATGCGACATGCATGTGTTTATTTTACTAATACATACTAATGAACTTGAATAAACTAATAAGTAATACATACTACATAACTACATCTATTCCTAACAATCGTAGGTGTTTGAAAAATAAACCAAATTTTTCGTCAGCTAAAATGGCATGTCACTTACGATTTAATAAAAGTAACTAAAAATAAAAAAGCAAAGCACTGTTTTTAACAAAAACATGTCCGGATAAAAAATGCGTGCTCAATGAGAAGCCTGACACTCAAACTCACTGACAATTTTTTTAACGCTTGGAGTATAATTTGATACCGCCATTCGAATACAATTATCCAAATGTTCATCTGTAAGTGGATTACGGTATTGGTTTTTACTTCATATTTGAAATAGAAGATTCACACACATAGGTTGAATGAAATAACGCTTTCACTTTCAAGGCAACACGACATAAAACTGAATATTTAACTTTACTTACTGAAGTCCAGATACATTTTGTATCTGAGACTAATGATTTTAAAGCAAAATCAATTTGAAACTCAATCACTTCCAGTTCTGTCGCAACGATGTCTTCGCTTAAATTCTGCGTAACAGAAGTAGCAAACTGTTGGATATCTTTTCCATGAAGGGTGAAACAACAAATTGCGCCACTATAGCAATTTCGTTGAAATCCTTGAAACGATTTTTGAAGTTATCCTTCAAGTTAGAGACTATTTCTACATAATAATTACTGTCATATGGATCTAATGGTCTTTGAGATATCTTTTCTGAAAGAACAGGAAAATGCCTGGTATCGCCATCGATTAAGTTTTGTTCCCAAAGCTTTTTGATAAACGCTTTTATATCAGAAATTATTTTTGCTAGTTTTTTGTCTCTCCCTTGAAGCTGCAAATTAATTTTTCTGTAATATCCACAAGAAATCCAAAATCTCTAAGCCAGATGGAATTTTCCAGTTTCGGAATCTGTTCATCCCGTTGTTTGAAGAATGGAACTATGGCAGACATGATATCATTAAAAAATTTCAGCACTCGTCCCCTACATAACCATCGAACTTCAGAGTGAAGAAGTAATTCCCCGTATTGACAGTCAATTTCATCGGCCAAGGTTTTGAATAATCTTGTTTGAAACGCTTGAGCTCTGATCTTGTTCACAATTTTTACTACCAATTTCATAACGTTGTTTAATTTTAGGGAATGTCCACATAATGCTTGCTGACGGATAATGCAGTGGTAACAGAGAAATTGCGGAAAACTTTCATCTTTACGACATAATACTACGAGACCCTTATCAGGACCCACTAGCTGGAGCGCCATCGGTTGTCAAGCCTACCATTTTCAATAGTGGAATTTTCTCAGAAGAAATAATATTCTTGAAAGAAGAAACCAAGTCCTGCCCAGTAGTCTGTCCTTTTAGTGGATTAAACTTCAAAAGATCTGCTTTAATCATAAAATCACTAAAAACCATATTGACGAACACGATCATCTGAGAGGTGTCAGCGACATCTGTGGTTTCATCCAGCTGCAGTGAAAAATAACCACAGTTATCGAAGTCATTTCTAACTGTAAAACTATATCATTGCTCATTACTTCTACTCGTCTCATCACTGTATTAGCAGAGTTGCATAGATTTTATAGCAGACACTGTCTCGTCTTTATCCTTAAAGTTAGCAAATAACGAATCTACAGCTTCTAAAAACGCCTTTTTTATCATTTTCCCCGTCTTCATAAGGTATATTCATTTGTGTAATTATCTGGGACACCCGGTCTGATGCTTCAGTTGCAGCCTTACTTTTGTCGTATTTTTAAAAACGTTGTCTGTTGTCCAATTAATTGCTTTTTAATTGTTTCAGTTTCTCCGTTCTGGTTGCAGAACGTAATAGGAATGATTTTTCAAAATTTGAATGTACAGTCTTATAGTGCCTCTCGATATTCCCTTTTTTAGCAACGGAAACAGTGAGTAGATCTGATCAAAATAAATGTTTTTTTCCTATAACATTTTTCTGGTAAAATTAAAGTAACAAAGTTATAGCCCTTTAGAAGTTTGAGTACCGCCCTGTCTCAATAATAATATTATGTGCTTGGCAACAAGCCCAGCTCTGCGTCGAGCAAAACGGAAATCATGAACAGTTTTTGTCACATGCTTTTGGGCGCACAGGTCCGCACTGAAATACTTGTCGGGAGGATACTTTATAAAACAAGGTAACATTTTTTTATTTTTTTTTTTATTTTTACACACATATTTTGGTTTTGTCTTCCTTCTACAATTATTATCTGAAAATTAATGCCTCAACTTCAAAGTATAACAAACATACATATCTTTAACTTCTGTAAAGAAATATTGTTCTTCCCATTCAGAATGGAAATGATATGTCTTCATCTTCTTACTACAGCTCATAATATGTTTAATTACAAGCCAACTCTAACCCAACCGCTGGACTTTGTGCGTTCAGTTTTAAACTGTGCGCACTGTCGCCGGTCCTTGCGTATTTATTCCGTTCAAACTAATCGGGATCGTTCTCGAACAGATCGCTCACCGCAGTGTTGCGCTGCTTGTATTTGTTATGAGAATTTACAAAATTTACGGAAGCTTCTATGCTTTTTACACCTTTTTAGAATATGTTGTGAGCCACCAGAATTGCCTTTGCGAGCTATCGGTAGCTCACGATCGACGGGTTGGCGACCACTGATTTAAACCAAAGAAACGACTTTTTTATACCAACCCGCTAACAAAACGTTTTGGCCTACCATCTACATTTAGCCAACTGATGGCACTGTCCTGCTAGGACTCTGCCATCAGTCACTGCCTTTCAAGGTACCGCAATTAGTCTAGGCATCGGCGCAGATTAAAGCGCCTTTGAAGGGAATGCCGGTCAAAAAAGGACTCGCGCCATTTTTAATTACGTTGAACGGTAGCCCTGTGGTTCATTTACTAAAATAACAAAAATTCCAGCTGGACGCACCAGCGTGCCCAGAAGTGCCGAGATTGGCATATTTATAACTTTAGGGCGAGATTTTTTAATGGGGCAGGTAACCTTCTGTGGCTTTGGTTCTCACGAGTGAGGTAAATTAACATTTATTATCAATAAAGTGTCGTCGATTAGGTTGATTCTTCACTTACCAGGCAACGATGTCTTAAAGGACTATGCTTGGCATAAGTTTGCTGCTCTGATAAAAAAGGATAGTCGCAAATATAGATATCACCCCCATAAATTCAGGATTTTCCAAGGACGTAGCGTACGTCGCCAGCGTTTTTGTTAGTTGTACACGCGAACGTGTGGAGAAGGTTTCAATTTCCTTCAAAAATAATATGGTCTGACGAGAGTATGGTCACCAATAATTGTATCTTTAATCGCCGCAACAGTCATTACTGGCTCAAGAAAATGCGGACTAAAAAAGTATCCGAACATCAAGAACGTTTTGGGTTTAACAGGTGGTGTGGGATTCTAGGGACCAAAATATACTGTGACATTAGAAGCGTTACACCCAGAATAAATCATTTCTTCAACTTGATTTTTTGGTAATAAGGTAGTCTTACATCAAGAATGAAACGATAACATTCTCACGAAATTTTATTGACAGATATTAAGAAAAAAAATTATAATGTGCCGGGCGACCCCGCAGCTGTTCCTCTACCTTCTGCTACCATACACGACAAACACGCATTATGGCCATTGCAGTATAATTAACACGGCGGCCAATTTCGCGATAGGACAAACCAACATCTCGAGATAAGAGCCAGGACTATAGGCGGGATGGTCTATCTCAACGAAGCCGCATTCCTATAAAACTGGTCTAATTTTGGCAGCCGTGTGCACGTCCGCGTTGTCATGCAGGAGAAATACTTTTCGATTTGAAAAATCGGGTCTTTTCTGGTTGATTGTGTTACGGAAATTTATCAGAGTGTTGGCATCCATTTGCATCTTTAAATGAGAAGTATGCCCCTGATGCCCGAAAAAAAAACTGTAGCAGAGGGTTGAGTCCGTGCCTTTTGGGGGGTGGAGACCCTTTGTGGACCCACTGCTTGGATACTTTTGTCTCAGGATCTCAATGATGCACCTAAAACTCAGAAGTCAGAATCTTGGTTAAATTTTTCAAATTTCCAACCTGCGCAGATTTTGTTCAGGTGTGGAACCCATCTGGCTTACGATATATTCAATGCCACACTAATGGTGAAGTCCTTCTCATTATGATCTTCGAGAGCCATGACTTCAACTTTTAGAGCCATTTCATCATTTGTTGCTGCTTTGGGTCCTCCGTTACTGGGATCGCCTTCTAAGGATTCACGCCCCCATCGAAACTGCTTCGACCAAAATTTTATTGTGTAATATCATCACCATTTTCGCAAGAATTGTTTTTGTCAAATGCCCTTCCTTGGTCAGAAATTTGATGACTCTGCCACACTCTAGTTATTCAGTTTTCATCCCATTCCACTTTATAAAAATTAACACAAATTTTCGAGAAGTAATTGTTTTTTTCATGGCTAGTTAGACTTCCTTTATCGTGTCCCTCGTATATCGCGAGTCACTTCATTTTTTGCGTGCACATATTCGATAGCGAACAAATAATTTCCGTATTTTTGTGCCTTACCTAATGATCAACCGTAATATAAAAAAGCCTTTGTTTCCCACATCGAACGGCGTATCCTCTCATCATAGCACTAACTACCCAACTAGCAAAGTAGTGCTATAATAATTTGGTAAAAGAACTGTTCAGCCATAAAAGCTCTCTATTGTTGTTGCCTGAACACCAAAATGCTGGCTTCACGTTGTGGGGAATGCAAATTTGCTTTGTGCAGCATATTTGCTCTAAAATGAGGTGTTTAAAATACTCTTATACTCGTAGCATAGTTATAGAACACCTTATAGGACAAATTTTGAACGGTTGCATAAACGTTTATACAACTATTTTATACGGCATATTTGCGCGGTAGTCAAAATAGTTGTGTTGTGGCATCCATGGTAACGTTTATACGACAAACCCGAGCCTTGTTGTTTTGGTGTGCACATTTACTAGTTTAGCCAACACATTGATCCCAACGGAACCACTTATACAACTGTCTTTTAGTAACTGTTAAAAGCTGTACATCTGCAACAACTTTTATATTACAAAATTACTGTGCGCGGCATACATTTGTTGCTAAATATGTTGGTATACAACTTCACAGAAACCTAACTTTCTGCTATCATCTTTCTAGTTAAAATGCCATAACCAATATTTTAAGACATGCACATTGGTTTAAAAGGTTTTATCAACTGTTCAAACAGGAGATATAGATCTATTACAAATTCTCTGGGTAAATCATTCGCTTCTGTCCGTATTTCATTTCCGAGATTTTTCAGTTTGTTGTATAACACTTGCAGACAACACCAAAATATTCTAATAAACCAAAGGCAACATGGACTTTGCCATGATTATACATAACCACCCGCCATATTGGGCAAAAATATATTCTTCTATTGAAAATTAATTAATTATGTTTCAGTTCGTACATTACAGATATAAAGTGATAAACATTAGTGTAATTGTGTCTAAATATTTGATTTGTGGAAGATTTATCGCAGATAAGTTCAGTTTTTCATCTTAAAAATCTAAACATAGTTTTGATCATCATTAAAATATGAATCAAATACGAAGCCGTACAAATTGCGTAACTACTTTGCACGATAATCATAATAAAATTTGCTGCGCAAGTCATTCAATAGCCCTATATCATAGTTTAGAAGTTTATCATATACCTGCGGATGCAAGAGGTTTACAATTTTGTTGTATAACTGTTACCTGCAGCCCTTATACAACCTCTTAAATGACTGAAGTGTCGTATTAGGTGTGCCCATTCCGCTTGTATAGCTGTCCTAAGAGCGTTTTACCAATGTTCTTACAGCATACAATGCCGTGTAAGGAAGACTGTATAATCGTTCTTGCAACTCTAATAGGAGTGATAATTGTTAGTTGGGTAGCACCACCATCCATCAGGCGAGTACTACCCTCTCGGGGTCCATTGTTTTACCTCGTCGGCTCAAAACAACAAAATAAAGGAATAATAGAGGGGAACGAATGACTGAATTTATTCGATTCGATCAACAATTTGACGCTTTCTTATAAATTGGCGTGCTATTTTTTATGAGCAGGTACAGCTATTTATCGGTAATAAGCAATTAGATAAGGATTAGGTTTTTTCTGATGCATGTTTCTAACAAGCGCTGGGGTCAAATTTTAAATTCTTTATTTTTTATGTTACAAAAAATACGGGGTTGTATTCAAAGCTGAGTCATTGTGCGTTATATTAAGAGCAGGACCATTATTTGCTTAAGTTTTACTTCAACGTATCAGAACTACAATATCACAGATTATGCAATTCTAATCTCTCTAGGATATTAGTTTTTGGCACGTGGTCTTTCAAGAAGGCCCATAGCTTTTTCAAGTCTTCAGTGTTTAAATTCATTCTGCCTACCAGGAATGGTCTGCCTCCAAACTCTTTAAAGTCTTCCATGAATTTTGTGATATCCACATAATTCAATGACAGTTTTCTTATGCTGGTATGGTTGATTCTAGCTTTTCCAGCTAATACACCTGATAAAAATTGAGGTTATTTTACTTCCTAATCCGTAACTTATCAAGAAAGACATGATCTAAAACGGTGGCACTTCTCTTAAACATAAGGCATGGGGTGAGCCAGAATTTATTTTCAAAAGTTTTATACCTGATACGAATGCGTCATCCACCCAAAGGAATTTGACATTTTCATTTTGGGATTCTCGGTATATGGCTGATATGGCTGCCATTGGATAGATGATGAAGTATCCAGAACAGTACTTCGGGTAGTATTCTTCAGGAAACATTTCCACAGACACCTTACAGAAGAAAATATAGATCGTTGAAATGAATCAATAAATTCTTTAGAAGGATTCCAATAGATCTTGAAGATTGGGACAAACAACTGCAATAAATCCAGAGCTACCGTTTTGTTGCATGTCTAGAAAGTTACTAGTGTTCCTCAATAAGAAAAAGGTGGACACAGGGCTTCAGTAAACAAATACATATTTTAGAATTTATAATGTTATTTTATACCTTCCATCTTCCATCTCTTAAGGCAGGACTATATTCCATAGTATTACAAAGGAGGTTGCTGCTATTTCCATAATTTTGATCATACTGATCGAGAAACTTTTTTAGGTTTGGTGTGTTGACAAAAGTATCATCATCAACTTTGACCAAGTATTTAACATTTGGACAATTGTCCACGACCATTTTCAAGGCCATTACATGTTTGTATGAGAGGTTTTTATACGAATCAAGGAAATCGCCTTGGACGATATCTCTGAATGCTAAAGTCTCTCGGTTGATGCTTAATTGCAATGTTTCATCTGGAAAAAGTCATCAAACAAAGAAATTGATATGAGTAATCTACCTGAAGATACTCAACCATATACTGTATTTTGGCGCCCAAGAAGGGATCTGAGAAATTCTGGCGTCACAGTAGCAGAACTCAAAAATGAAATTAGAAATTCACTTTGTAAACAGAGCTCTGGACAGTTGAGATCTATCTTCAGGATGCTTATCAATAACAGTAGGCTCCAACAGTTAGAATTACAGGTCAAAAGTACAAATTTTAAGAATATTTATAATTTTTAACTTATAAAATTTTCAAGGTCTCTGACGTTTTCATAATTTCTAGCTTTTACAATTTTTGAAGTTATCTAAATATTCACAATTTACATTTTCTTTGAAACTTCCATAAGTTCCGGAATACTGGAAACTCGTTATGACAATTCTTACAGCCAAATATGCAAATGTTCAGTCTCCACTTGACGGTCCCCCAAAAATGGCATACTTTTGGCTTTTTTGATCACGCTTTTCAAATGGCGATAAAATCTTACCTGTTGTGTTTGCGATCAAAAAGAAAACCTTGATACCCAGAGCCTTCTGACCCCATGTCAATCTAATAACATTCCTATTTTCGAGATGATCAGGACTGGAGAGTACAGCTATCACATATCTGTCACTTGTATTACACCATTCTGGAATATGTTTATAGCGAAAGTGGATATTCAGCAGCTTATGGTAACCATCACTAGTGTTTCGAAGAAAACTTCTATTAGAAGGCGGATAGAAGGTTCGCTGCTCTTCGATCTTGTACGTTCCTAATTTTTCGAGATACAAATATAGAAGGAAAATAAATGTGGCTCCAGTGCAGTAGAGGAGAGTTCTCAACTTATTGAAGCTCATTCTGCCTGGTTACATGCCAAATTTATGGCTGCTCTGTAAAAGATATACAGGATGACTCAAAAAATAGTCGCAATATTTCTAGGACAGTTTGCAAAACCGAAAATCAAAAGATCATGTTTAAGCATTGTAAGGGTTACATTTATAGACGTTTCCATTTCACAGTAGGTTGTCATCACAGGTTTTGAAAATTTTGGGTATCTTGAAAATTGCCAAAATTGGAAATATGAGGGGTTTTAAAGTTTTGAAGATCTTAAAAACCTTCAGAATTTTGAAAATTTCGAAAATTCAGAATATTTTGAAATTTTTGAAAATCTTGAGAATACTAAAAAAAAGAAAATTGAAAACTTTGAAGATTTCATAAATCATGGAAAATTTGAAAATCTTGAAAATTTTTAAGATTTTAAAATGTTTTAAAATCTTGAAAATGTTTAAAACTGCCAACATTGGAAATTTAAAAGATTTTTAAAATTCTGGCAATCTTAAAAACCATCAGAATTTTGAAAATTTTTAAAACCTTGAAAATTCTGAAAATTTTGAAAACCGAAAATTGTGCAAAGAAAGAAAAAAATTGACTCTTTTGAAAAGCTTTGAAGATTTGAAAATCTGGACAATTATGAAAATTTTGAGAATTTTTAAAATGCAAATAGGATCACTTTCATTTGGTTCCACCCAGAACTGATTGGAAAAGCATGCTGGAGTAAAGCAAGCATTTTTATCAATCTATAGTGAATACAGGCACAATGTACAATAGGTATTTATGTAAATTATAAGTTGGTACGTTATCTGATCATCAATTAGTGAAAACGACATTACCTTGTATAATATTCGTTTTTATAAATAAATGTGTGATTTTATAAATTCAGAACAATTTGTATATTCCACTTGACAGAAAATGTTGTAGTATCAAATTATGCGTAATAAAACTACAATAAAATAACATCAAATGGAATATCAAAAAATGAAAACTGTGTTCAAAATGATTTATAAGAGTACGTGACATACATGTACAGAATGGGATATAAAGAGATATATAAATATGAGACATAACAGAAGGCTTTGACTTTAAACTTTAAAAATGTATAGTTAAAATTATCCGTGAAAACTCACGCTACTAAAGAAAACGATGAGCTACCTACCATTTGTTCGTTTTAGACACTCACATTGTTTGAAACACTCATTGTTCCACTCTGATAAATAATACTGCTAACATGTACGATGTTATCTTTACGGCTTAATCCTTTTTAATCATATTGATAATACACCTAATTCTGGACTACGGAATGATAACAGGTATTAGGTTATTATTGTGCGTTGTTATTGATTTTTAACAAATTTCGAGGTACGCACTACATTATATTTTAAGAAAAGTCAAAACTGGGCTTTCTTGCTTTTTTACAAACATTTATTTCTTCGACCGGACAAAAGCATCTATCATTGGCGTTGATAAATAAGGAAACTCGATTTGTGATTTGCAATTCGAATACTTAGGACAGCATGGTTTCGCGGTGCATTTTGGCAAATTGATGCGGAGACAGTACCTATTACAACACGTTACCAACATCTTGGTTAATTTTATACCATGCTTCATGTAAGCTGGACTCATTAAAACGAAATGCTAGTTGTGTATCGTCAGCATATAATTGAATAGATCAATGTTCTACACACTCATGCAGATCAAACCTGTATAATAGGAATAAAAGAGGTCCTAGCACTGAACCCCGTGGAACTCCTGATGAAACATACTGTGCATCAGAAGTTCCTCTAGACGTTTTCCTTTTTCACTTTTTTGGATGCGGTCTCGAACAGAAGATCAGGCTTGGGTCATCACCATCTAATACTTTGGAACCATGCTAGAGAAACACAGTGGCATCAGAGAAAATTCAACAATAAGTAAAGCTGCTTACAGTTATCTAAGTGTGGAAAATGAAGCAGTATGGTAATCGACCGTGAGAAACATCCAACAAGTGCACGTCATCAAAGGTATGAAAAGTCAAACCTTGTAGACAGCGGAACTCCGAGAAACAACACCTCAATCATACACATTGCCATCAAATTCCAAACAACGTTCAAGTTGGACCATAACTGAAAGAGGTGACGTAGTCCTGGGATACCCTGTATATAAAGCAGATATATCGAACATCGGAACATCCCCCCCCGAGCTAGCAGCCGTCGCGAGTATACACTTGTGCGACTGCGACCCACCCGGACTTATTGAGCAATCTTATTGCGATTTTCATTGCAAAAGATTGGTTGTTTGCCATCTACGATGGCGAAAATTGAGAAGCTGGTTAACCAGCTGAAAGAAAAGAAAGATGCTTTCGCTATGCTGGGAGAGCAGATGCGTAACCTGCAAGAAGCCTTCTTGCAGGCCAAACAGGAGATCGAGGACCTGAGCGGGAAGCTCCGCAGGGCCAAGAAGAAGGCCGCAAAGAAGACAGAAGAAGAGGAGGAAGAGGACCACCAGGCTACGTCGGACGAAATGGACGCCCAAGAAGAGGGCACTCAACGGACCGAAGAAACAGAAGAAGAAGCCGAGAAGAGGACGGACGACACCGATTTCAGTGTCGCCACCAGACGGAGGAAGCGGGTGCGAGTTTCCTCCTCCGAAGATGAGTCACCAAGGCAGCCAAAGATGCCAGTTGCCGCCACCAAGAAGAGTCCTAGAGCAGCCAGGACCATCGTGCCCCCCATGGCAGGAACAGGAGTTCCGCCAATCAATATCGAGGGCACCGCTGATTGGTCATCCTTAAGCAGGATGATGAACAGCAAGGGGATTCAATTCTCCAAGGCGATGACGGCGGGTAACAGTGTGAAGGTATTCACAAATACACCAGCTGACTATCGTCAGCTAGTCGCACTGCTGGAATCCATCAAGCGGCCCTTCTTCACCTATCAACTGAAGGAGGACAGAATGGACCAGAGGGTCATTTGTGGGCTACCCAGGGAGATGTCAGTCAATGACATCAAAGAGGATCTAGTGAGCCAAGGCATCGCAGACGCCGAGGTTCAGCAGATGACCTCAAGGACCACCAAGAAGCCACTTCCGCTCTTCCTCGTCAAGACGAAGATGCCGGAAAAGCTTGCAGAGATCCAGAGGCTGGCCATGCTCACGGTCAGCTTCGAGAGGAAGAAAAAGTCTTCCGTGCCCAGCCAATGTTACCGCTGCCAGCGGTACGGGCACACACAGCGGAACTGCCGTCTCGCTGAACGGTGCGTTAAGTGTGGAGAGGACCACAGCAGCACCAGCTGCAGTCTGCCAGTGCCGCCAACAGGGCAACGAAACGCCAAGTGTTGCCTCTGTGGAGAAGGCCACCCCGCCAACTACAAGGGATGTAGTAAGGCCCCGAAGAAAGCTGCTTCTGCCCCCAAAGCAGTCCCCACCACAAATAGGACTTCTTACGCTCAAAAAGCGAAGAAACCTATGTCCACTTCTGCCCCAGCAGCCGCCACTGCTACTGGAACTACTGCGCAGAAGAAACACGGCGATGACAGACTGCTAGCAATGATGCAAGCCATCATAACCCGCCTGGATGCACTCGAGGCCAAGATGCAAGACAAGCACTAGACCCGAAATGTCTACAGGGCAAAACGTAGAATCTCTACGCATTATCTCCTGGAACATCAACGGATTCAGGGCACGGAAACCAGAAATCCAGGAGATACTAGACCAGTACCAACCAGAGGTGATGGCCATCCAAGAAACGAAATTGGATGCTGCCCATAGACTGACGTTCCCGCGGTACGAGACGTACCGCTACGAGAGAAGGGGCAGAGGTGGAGGAGTCGCATTACTCGTCAAACGTACCTTGACGAGTCATGTCCTCGACGATGCCGCAGACATAAATGGGGACGGAATCACGGTCCAGGTCCATCACAACCACCGTCCCTACAGAATCATCTCCCTATATGTGCCACCAGGGGAGGCCCTAGACGAAGATGACATCGCTGACCTCCTGAGAGGCCCAGGAGCACGCATAGTCATCGGAGATCTAAACTGCAAGTCTCCGGCATGGAACAACAACGTCGAAGACAGGAATGCAAGGCAGCTCCAGGAACACGTCGATGCCCTGGCGGGGGTCATCGTCGGGCCGGAGCAACCAACCTACATTCCATTCGGCCTTGGGCGACCTGCGGTACTGGACATAGCCATCCTCCGCAACATCAGAGAGGAGTTCGAGATAGAGACCCTGGTGGAAGGATCGTCGGACCACAATCCGATTCTACTAACACTCGGCACAGGGTCTAGAACTCGAGATAGCTTGAGCACCAAACGGACGAACTGGAACCTGCACAAATCCAACGTCCAAAGGAACATCACTCAAATTCCAACCATCCGATCAGCGGAGGAACTGGACAACGCAGTAGAGGAGCTGGAGAATGCTGTCCTGCGAGCGCACGAGGACAGCACCCGCTCCGAGACTACGGCAGTTCCTAGACACCTAAATGGTCCAGCACCGCACCATATTAGGCACCTGATCAGGGAGAACAGAAGACTCAAGCGAGAACATCTCCAACTGTTGACAGAGGAGTCGAGAGTTACGCGAAACAGAGCATCGTTAGCTCTGAAGAACGCACTCGCGGAACTCCAAAACAGCAGATGGAATGCAGCCTGTGCAGAACTAGAGACCCAGGATGGTACGGCCTGGTCTATGCAGCGAAAATTTCGTCGTCAGCGCACCACGATCCCCACTCTTCACGGCCAACGCGGCTTGGCCTACTCCAGTGAAGAAAAAGCCGAAGCATTCGCCGATTCGCTAGAATCCGAATGCAGACTCAATTACCATGAAGACGAGGACGACAACCACGAGGAGGCCGTGGAAGTCGCAGCCGAAAACATGAGGAGTCGACCACCTGGCCAGGAGACGGATCACCCCTCCAGTCCAGAGGAAATCCGTCTGATCATCCGCAGGTTGAAGGTCAGAAAGGCGCCGGGAAGGGACGGCATCAACAACAGGATGCTGAAGAACCTCCCCACCAAAGGCATTGCTGCGCTCACCAACATCGCCAATGCCACCCTGAGACTTAACCACTTCCCGCGGCGGTGGCGGGAAGCCCAGGTTATAATGCTCACCAAGCCAGGCAAGGACCGGAAGTTGCCCCAGAACTACCGGCCCATCAGCCTGGTTTCCTCGATGGGCAAAGTAGTCGAAAAGGCTATCGCCGTTCGACTAGA